GAGTGGGTTACAGTGCCACTGACTGGTGTCCAGCCCCTGATCCAGACATACCTAGTGTGTGCTTATCGATGGGACTAAGTCCATCAGACATTCTCTTTGGCCCCTAGCACCATGCTGTGTTGTAGGAGAGGCTCAGGAAGGAAGTCTCTCTTTTTCATCACCCTGCCGTATGATTGCCAATTCTACAGTGGCACAAGTAACATATTTGGGGCACCTTGAACGGCTTCCTGTTGCAGTTCACTGACACCTGCACTAGAGGACTCTCAGTGAGTCTTGTAAACTTCCCAGCCCCAGTCCACCTGGCCCTAGGACAGTCCAGCCTGGTTGCCTGGTCCAGCCTGCTTTACCCTTTGTGCTAGCCTCTCCTCTGATCATGACCAGCTCCGGCCCAGGCAACCCAGAAAACATCCTTACATTCCTGGAGCAGAACCCACACCTTCTCCCACCAGGACTGAGCCCAGCCGTGTGCTTCCAGAGAGAGAGTGAGAGATTAGAGAGATTGAAAGAGATTGGGGGACTGAGGGAGAGACTGAGAGACTGAGAGACATTAGACAAGAGAGATGAGAGAGACTGAGCAAAAGAGAGAGAGAGAGAGAGAGAGAGAGAGAGAGAAAGAGAGAGAGATCTTGTCAGCAGTTGGTGATGGAAAGAGCCTATTCACGGAGACAGCAAAAGTGAGATGAAGCCCACCCAGTATAATGAAAGTGGCAGGCAAGTCTCCTGGCTGGAACCGCAGCTGTGAGCAGGAGAGTTCAAAGAGGTGGCCAACTGCCTGCTAAGCTTAGGGCGTGACAGGCTTACGCGGATTTTCTAGAGTGGGTTCTGTTTCATTGTCCACAGACATAATTTCAACAGATGCGTTTCATTGGCGCTGGTGTCTCTCCAACACCTTGCCCTGTGGTTGGGAGGGCTGGCACAACACGGAAACCACTGTTACTGTATACAGTAACATCATAACCTTACACAAGTATGCCACCCTGCTGTCTGATCTGGGACTCAAGATGAGGCTGAAGGACGCTGGGTGCTTGAGCTGCTCAGATGCACAGGATGGCGTTGGAGAGACACCAGCTCCAATGGGCAACAGGGCAAGTTTACTCTGTTCATCTTGGGAAGGAATTCTAAAGGATCCGGATAGATAGCTCAGTTGGTAAAGTGCTCGCCACACACGCATAAAAACCTGAGTTCGGGGCTGGAGAGACGGCTCAGCGATTGGGAACACTGGTTGTTCTTGCAGAAGATCCGGGTTCGAATCCCAGCACCCACATGGCAGCTAACAACTGTCCGTAACTCCAGTTCCAGGGGATCCAACAGCCTCTTCTGTCCTCCTTGGGCATTGCACAACATGGGTGCACTTACCTACATGCAGGTAATACATGAATACACATAACATAAAAATAATAAAATGTTTTTTTAAAAAAACTGAGTTCAATCCCCAGAATATATGTAAAAAAAAGCAAAGCATGGAGTTAGACCTGTAACCCCAGAGCTACAGGAGAGAAGGGAGCCAGAGACAGGAGGATCCCTGGGGTTCACTGGCCAGACAGCATAGCCTGTTTGATGAATTTCAAATCAGTTCCACATCTCAAAAACAAGGTGGATGGGCCCTGAGAGGGCACTCAGTGTTGACCTCTGTCCTCCATAGGCATGGATATTCACACTGGGGTGCATAGTCCCACAGGAGCATGCACCCACATGCACACACAGAAACACAAAAACAATGATACATAGCCAGCTTATCTCCACACAAAACTGGACAGAACCTGACAAAAGAGTTAGGACAATAAACAAGAAAGGTTCAGTGTGAAGAAGGGGTGTGGAGGCCTTTTGCCCAGTTTAGGTCGCCCACCAGGGTCCGTGGAGTCTGGTGAAAAGTCTGTGCTTTTATTTCTTTTTCCGTTATAGGGGGGGCACATGTACACATGTTTTTGCGTGTGTGTGCACACGTGTGTGGGTATATGTGCATGTGGTGGCCCAAGCTTGATGTCAGGAATCTTCCTCGATCACGCCTCCACCTTATTCACCGAAGCAGGGTCTCTCAATCGACCCAGAGCTCACTGATGTGGCTGGCCTTGCTAGCCAGCTTGCTCTGGGGATCCCATCTCTTCCTTCTGATGCTGGAATTACAGGGAGGCTGCCATGACCACCTGGTACTTACGTGGGTTCTGGGGATCCAAACACCAGTCCTCACACTTTCCTGGCAAGCGCTTAACCACTAAACTGTCTCCTCAACCCCAAGCGTCCATATCTTTAGAAAAAGCAGGCTTCATATTACTGCAACTAGTCTACGCCACTGTTAAAACCCACATGTCCGCAGCAAAGCTAGTGGAAAGTTGTCAATGTCCCAACCAGCTGTGCAACTATCAACATTAGTGAATTTTAGGTCAACTAAGAGCAAGTAAAGCTGGGGTTTAGGGCTTTTCTCAGTGTTCTCAGGAAAGAGATTCTGATGCTGGGACCCTGACTCTGCTCCAACAGTTGATTCTTACTGTGAAGGTCAATCGTGGCTGTCCTCTTGTTAGGACTCAGTCACTGCAGAAGCTAACCTCTGCGTACATCTGTGAGGGTGCTCCTGGACTGGGTTAATTGATACAGGAAGATGTGCGCTAAATGTGGGTGCCCCCGTTGCGTGGGCCGGGGTCCTAGACCGAATGAAAAGGAGAGACTGAGCGGAGCACCAGCAGTTGTCACTGTTTCCTAACTGGTGAGGCAGTGTGACCGGCTGCCTTAAGTTCTTCCCTCCGTTCCTCCTCCACAGGATGGATGGCACCCTCAGACTGTGAGCCAAAATAAACCTTTCCTTCCCTTAAGTCGCTGTTGTCAGGTGTTTTATCAGGAACTTACACACCACAGCATTTTATGGGATCGGATCCCCCTTGGTGGCAATCTCCCCTCCTATCTGTCGTCATTTATGTGTCCATCTTGAACCCACCAGGCTTCTTCTGTCATAAGGAGACCCTCATCTGTAAACATCCCAGCCTTGTGGAGACAAAACTACTAAACATGTGCTTTTAGCCGGGAACAGCTTAGGGGCCCAGAGTCCTATCCCGTGCCACCCTCTCGTGGCGCCACGTCTTATTAAGACAGACGCAAAGGACAGAAAAGAGACGGCACTGTGCTGGTGTTGAAGACTGAGGAAGAGCCGGGAATGTGTTGGCTTCTAGAAGCTGTAAATGGAAGGAAAGGGGAGGCTGCCCCAGGGTCTGTGACCCTGAGCTGCTAGGAATAAAATCCCATCTCCAGTCAGGCCCAGGGACTGCTCATCCTGGGGAGGGGCTGGGTCTTCTGAAGCCCTCTATCCTCTCCCTTCCTCCAACAAGTACGACCACCGTGGCTGCCGAGCCAGTGGCCCCCCTCTGTCAAGGGCCGAGGGCTTTTCACAGCATGAGTCTCTGGTCAAGTGGGCCTGCCTCTCAGAACCCTCCTCTACAGGCATTCCCCACGCAAGAGACCCAAAGCAAACTCTGGCGACAACAGGCTAACCCAGCTGTCCTGAGTCAAGTGGGTCCTGGGATTCCATTATGTGGGGAGATAGCCTCGAAGGGGGCTGAATATATTTTGCATGCAAATAAATGCACCTAGGGGGAAATATTATTGTATATTTTGAATACTGTTATGTATTATTTCATATACATACACTATTTAAACATTATTGTATATTAAGAATTTGGGGGGCTGGAGAGATGGCTCAGTGGTTAAGAACACTGTTCTTGCAGAGGACCTGGTTTTGAATCCCAGCACCCACAAGGCAGCTAACAACTGTCCATGATTCCAATTTCAAGGGATCCAACGCCCTCTTCTGACCTCCACAGGCATTGCATGTCACAGGTGCACTTACACACATGCAGGCAATACACACATACACATAAAATAAAAATAAATAAAATATTTTTGGAAAAAAGAATTGGATGTCAGGGCTGGAGAGATGGCTCAGTGGAGGACCTGGGTTTGGTTCCCAGCACCCACATGGTGACTGACCACTGTCTGTAACTTCCGTTCCATGGGAATCTGATGCCCTCTTCTGACCTCCGTGGACATTGCACCACACAGCATTGCCTGTATATATATAAGCTCACCCATGTCGTGCCATATGGGTGCTGGGAACCAAACCCAGGTCCTCTGCAAGAGCAGCCAGTGCT